ATCCGGGGTAGAATAGGTCTTCAGCAACCCATGCTGGCGACAAACGGGATCGGATGGTCAGGCTCGCTGACTTGGTTAATGCATGTCATCGATTGCAATTGCGTGGATCGATTCTCATGATATTAATCACTGGATTGTCTGGTCCAAACTCGATTATTTACAGACCGCCGTCATATGGCTGGTTGCGGCGTTAAACAACAAACCAACCAACCGTGAAGATTCTGAAGACCTATTCTACCCCGGAATCTTCATGGGTCTGAACAGAACACATCATATGAAATGTAGAAAATAAAATTTGAATTTAATCATACATAAATGCTAAAAAAATTAATTTTTTTTCAATAACACATGTGCATTTATTTCACATAAATGCTAAACCAGTGTTTTTTTCAATGAAACATGTACATTTATGTCACACAAACGCGCCACGTGCTGCTGTTTTCTTTAGGAAGTTATTCAAATGAATCTTTATTACAAAGCTGACATATATGTGTAACACATGAAATCAGACGTGTACAGTATTTAGAACTTGCTGGCTCAGTTGGCATCATGTCCATGCACAACCCCAGATCCACAGATGCAGTTGCTGCACATGGTGCTCCACCGAAATCTGAAACATTCATGGACAAAATCATTACAGCTGTTGACAGTCTGCTTTATACATTTTATTAGTTTATTACAGATATATAATGGCACATACTCCAAAACGTTGTGTTCTTCGTAAAAAAATAACTTTACATTTATAAAAAAACGTTGTGTTCCTCGTAATAAAGAAGTTGACATTGATAAATTCTCTTGTTTATATGTTTGTTGTATTTTATTTTAGATATAACTCTATTATTAAAATTTATGCGATAAACATGGAATAGCTATAACAAAAATTATGTATTTTCATTATCATTTTTGAATTGTCAACATATTTCATCACATAAGCAACTGTGATGAGTTTTTTTCAATTTTATTTCAATTTTCATAATTATGATTCAATTAATAGTAGTTTTATTTCTAAAAAATAGTGATATACTATGATATAAAATATAGAATGTTCAAGCTGAACAGCACATAAGCATTATATATATATGCATATTATTATACCTTCAGTGTTAAATCCATCCAATAAACCCTGCAGGGTAGGCCGATTTTCGAGTATCATAGTCTCGGCAAATGAGGTTGAGAAAGGCTTGGGTCCACCACCCGTCTTTGGGCGTCTGATTGCATCAGTCTTTCCTTTGGCCCGTGAAGACGCCGGGATAGAATAGGTCTTCAGCAACCCGTGCTTGCCGTAAAAGGCGACTAACGGGATCGGGTGGTCAGGCTCGCTGACTTGGTTTATACATGTCATCGATCCCAATTGCGCGGATCGATGTTCATGATATTATTCACTGGATTGTCTGGTCCAGACTCGATTATTTACAGACCGCCGTCATATAGCTCGAATATTGCTGAGTGCGGCGTTAAACAACCAACCAACCAACCAAGTCTTGAATGTGTGGAGTTTGAAATCGCAAGGGACTCACATTATCAAAGCGTAAATCTGAAAGATCTCTTTTCCAGTGTCAGCGGGCATCTCATTAACAGCTACTTGAAAGAAATCAACCAGTGTTTTTAAGCCAACTCATTGATGAGTATTTTTAAATATTGGCTAGCATTGTGCACAACCACCAGTGGCCAAAGTGATGACGTTAAAGCCTGCTGGGGTATCATGCAGGAAGCAGAGGTACTGTAAGTCCCCATGATCCCCAGCGAGGTGGGCTAGCTTTAGTTACTGGCGGCCTATAGCCCGTGTTTTAAAACTGTATATATACAGTATTGTTATGCTCAAATATGTTTCATGAATTGTTTCTAAATATAGTATGCTCAAATATGTTTTACAACTTGTTTCTAAACAAAACTTTGCATAAATGACTAAATTGTAAATATATTAACTTGGTCTCGTCGCTATATGGCTGAGATAATGCCGATGCGACGTTAAATTTTAACTCACTCACTGAAATAAATTGATCTGTATAATAAATTTTAAATATGAATGTGAATAATTAAGGTTTGTTTTTTAAAATTGGTGTGATGCTATTATCAACTGATGGTTGGTTGGTTTGTTGTTTTACGCCGCACTCAGCTATTCCAGCTACCCTTAGAGATTCCGGGGTGGAATAGGTCTTCAGCAACCCATGCTTGCCGTAAAAGTTGCTAAAGTAATGACGTAATTCTGCTTTGGTATCATGCAGGAAGCCGAGGTACTGTAAGACCCCATGACCCCAGTGAGGTGGCCTAGCTTTGGTAAATGGTGGCCTAAAAGCCCGTGTTTTAAAACTGTATACATGATATTGTTATGCCCAAATATGTTTGATAAATTGTTTAAAATATAACTTTGTATTCATAATTATTATTCATGTATTATCAACTTGGTCTCGTCGCTATATGGCTGAAGTAATGCCGATGCGACATTAAATTTTAACTCACTCACCCACACAGCTGGTATATTGCCGAGCGCGGCGTTAAACAAACAAACAAATATATATGAAGCGATGCGAATGGGTGTAGGAGAGTGCACTATTTCATTTCTGTGCATATTGATAGTAAACTTAGCCTTGCTAGGTGGTAAACAAATTCAGTATTGATCAGAAGTTCACAACATTCAATTTCCTGTATTCGCCACACAGAATGCAGTTAAATACAATCTGGTCAAAGAAGGATTGTCACGCTTCTGACAGAAAAATTAATATAAAAAGTATTAATATTGATTGATTAATAAATCTATACCTCAATATGCACAGAAAATACTAATATTGGTATATGACAATACTGGGCTTTTATATCCACATGCAATCAGGAACAGGTAAAGAGAAATGACATCAACCAAAGCGTCGGATATAATTTTGTACAATTAACCTCATTTGCCCGAAAAAGCACTATATTGACAAAGGCAATGTGACGCATAAATAAAATGAAAGAGTAAGTTGAATTTTATGTCGTTTTAGCAATATTTCAGCACCGATCGCGACTTAACACATTGTACAAAACCATTTCCGCCCCAACAATTCCTACAAACGCATTTATTTTCTTTACAAAGTTTAATGTCTTGTATTTAGACTTTTCAGGTTTCGTTTAATATGCCAACTTTATGTCGACATAAACCACAAGAATGATTATACGTAAAAAATATTTATTTCCAATTTCGCTTCATTGTAGGATTAAAATTGTACATGTTAGGTTTGCATTTTAATTGTATGGTGAATGGGCAGTTCTCGAGCGCAAAGTTCGAAAATAATTATGAATAGTGCACTGATTGATAAAAAAAAAGGCAAATTCCGCGGATTTTTTTTGTACAATTCTGCGTTAAATCACATTCTCTGCAAATCTTCCGCGATCGCGGAATTCACGTGGAACTGGTGTGTGTGTGTATGTATGTATATCTGTGTGAGTGTCGGTGTGTCTGAGTTTAAGTGTGTGTCTGTTTGCGAGTGATTATGTGTGTCTGTGTGTGTAGGTTTATGTGTGTGTGTCTCGGTTTGTGTTTCTGTACATGTGTTTGTTTGGAAGAACCCATGAGCACTAGGAAGGACTCCCGAGTATAGTGATTTATTTGTTCAATTTAATTTCCAAAGATACTCAGATAAGTCACGGGAAGCACTGTCTGTAGCTTGTGAGTATTTAATTCAATATAAGGTGTCATCCAGGATCCCCGTTTGTGTGTTAGTTTGTTTGCTTAACGCCGCACTCAGCAATATTCCAGCTATATGACGGCGGTCTGTAAATAATCGAGTCTGGACCAGACAATCCAGTGACTGACATCATGAGCATCGATCCACGCAATGTGTATACGATGTCATGTATCAACTAAGCCTGACCACCCGATTCCCTTAGTCGCCTCTTACAAGCATTGTTCACCATACCCGTGCTTGTGGGTTTCACCGACGTGGTAAACGTCTGAGACCTGCATCACTTCGGGCCTTCCTCCCACATTAAGCTGACACGCCTTGATATAACTGGAATAATGTTAAAAGAGGCGTTAAAACCCAACTAACTCACTCACCTACAAGCATTGTCGCGTTTTACGGCAAGATTTGGTTGCTGGAAACCTATTCTAACCCGGATCTTCAGGGGTATCCGAGTATAATGAGGGTTATTTGTTCAGTGTTATTATTTAGTGCGCACTAAGCATTATTCCAAGTCAGCAAGCCCGATTCCTGACCCCTTAAGTCGCCTCTTACGAGAAGCATGGGTTGCTGAAGACCAATTGTCAGCCGGATCGTGAGTATGGTTTTACGGCGCTTTTAGAAATATTCCAGCAATATCACGGCGGGGGACAACGGAAATGGGCTTAACACATTGTACCCATGTCGGGAATCGAACCCGGGTCGTCGGCGTGACGAGCGAACGCTTTAACCACTAGGCTACCCGACTGTCCCTCACCCGGATCGAGGTACAATGAGGATGTACCTTGGAGTGAATTACATGACCAAAAGATCCTGGCGCATCAAGGGGAAACAATTCTGTAAATTGTGGTGCACCCTTAACCCCAAACACTATGATTGATGCTGATAAATCCACGTTCTTCATTAGTAAAAAAACAATCTTCCGTTCTACATTGTAAGGGCATGGATACAAAAGCATATGACAAGTATTCCTGTTCGAACAACATACGTGAGCGTCCCATATAAGTGCTATTTCGTCTATTTTACATGCTTATCTTTATTACATGTCACAGATAGATTTATCGTGTAATAGTTTTTGTCATTGTGGAAGATTATATTGCCGTTATGGATCGTCCATTGTATCAAAGAGCCTTTCACATATGCACCGACTCCTGTAAATTATCAACCTGTCCAATAAAATGCTATTAAAATTAATTACTGAATTTCTGTTATAGGCTGCAAACCAATATACAGTTCGTAAATGTATGTTAATATATACAATGTACAAACAACCACCACGAGTCAAAATGTAACATAATCAATATACGGCAGTGGAAAGGGGATATAAGACATTGAATACGCATGCAATTATGCATTACCTCAATGCATGTATATACAGGTGGTAATACCAGTGTGGTTGTGTAAGTTGCAAATAACAATGTTTCGCGTCGTGTTACTTCTATTTGGCATATTTTCTCTGGGTAACACGAACGAGGTTGAAAACACACAGAAGACTATACAAATTCTTAAACTTATAATGAGACTCGGAAACTTTTTACCGTCTGAAGATGACTACGAAGACGAATATGATGATGATGATGAGGAGGAGGAGGAAGACCATGACGAGAAAGATGAAACTACGACGCAAGCTACAACGACCACGACAGAAAATAACAGTAAGAAATAAACTATTTTCAATTCGATTCTTCATGAACTATACTTTGTAGCAAGTCGCCAGAATCTCGTATATTATATCAAGTTCTTTTAAATACAATTATTGTATTAAACCAATCCATAAAACTGTATGACAAAAGTCACGCTCTTTCTATAATAAGATTTCAAATAGCGTCAAATGGCAAAGGTGTCTGATCACGGTAACAGCTGCAAGGCAATCTCATTAAAATCAGATCTAAGTTCTCGCTGCGGCTAAACAAAGATCTGAGGACATCCGATTACGGGTCACGTCAGAACGACCTCAGTTTTGTCCATTTCTGGTGATTTCAATGGGTAGGTTCACAAGATGGTCTGGTACAAAGACAATAATAACACTAGAGTTGCAGTTCTAATGTCTATGATTCATTAACTGATTGTACTTGTTGGTTTGTTTCAATCTGATTGACATATCCCACTTAGGCTTAGAACTTTTCAGCCAGCACTCGTACAGTATTATTTATTAAATGACCATTCCAAATGTAAGACGCATTTTCAAAATCAAGAGAGCGGAGTTTGACACACTCTGAATGTTCAATTTCTCTTGTTTTGTGTTGCGTTGTGTTATGACCATTGGCATGCTCTATAAGTCAACCTGTTATCACTTAGGCAGTTGAGTCATGTACACAGTTTTCACCTGCCACAGATAGGGCAGCATACGTCCACCTTTTCTTGAACACCTGGTATCATCACTATTTATAGTGATTCATGATCATAAACATCTTTCTTTTATATTTCAAATTCAAACTCCTCTATATCGAGTATGGGGAATCAAAACAATGTAACATTCCTCTGTAACCTACAATTTCAAGGGAGACATTTAAAAAAAAATTAAATTATATTCTTAAATTCATTAGATTGCAACTTTATCCGAAAAGAGCCTCATTGAAAAATCGTTAGGAGGATTTTTTAGTTTTACACAAAAACATTTCAACATGAACAAAACAAATTCGCAGTTACTTATACCTCTGAGTATAAATGTCGTGCCACAGCCATCTTCCCGAGGCAAGGGCAAGGGTTTGTTTGGTTAGTTTGTTGTTTAACGCCGCACTCAGCAATATTCCAGCTAGATGACGGTTGTCTGTAAATAATCGAGTCTGAATCAGACAATCCAGTGATTAATATCATGAGCATCGATCCCCGCAATTGGGATCGATGACATGCATCAACCAAGTCAGAGAGCCTGACCACCCGATCCCGTTAGTCGCCTTTTACGACAAGCATAGTCACCTTTTACGGCAAGCATTGGTTACTGAAGACCTATTCTACCCCGGATCTTCACGGGTCTTAAGGGCAAGGGCGTTAACTGATCCTAAAAGTCCAGTTTTCACCCTTGCCGATCTAGCCTGGAATTTCGGAGTTACATTTTGGCTGGACAGAGGAGTCTGTGCATAGTGCAATCAAGGTCGCGTGACAAAGGATATAGCCGGTTTGTAAACAACATGGATTTCAACGTGCAGATTTCGGTCGACTGTAGGATTTGCAAAGCATTTGTACCACCAACTTGGCCTCAACAGTTCTGCAAATATTTTTAAGTTTTTAATCAAGGTGCTCAAGTGATTTGAATAGCTTGAATGGTAATACCCGTTTTATTACAATATACATCTTGATTATCGATCTGATCGTCTTGACTGGGAGCCGTTATTTTGTTTGAAGTAAATGCAAGTGCTATGAGAGGTGGAATCTGATTGTTAACAGGACTGACATAGAAGGGACGTAACTCGTAATAGCCACTGGTGGCGCAACGATCGAGCCTGGACATTCCAACCTAGTTCAGCAAGGGTGAAAACTGGACTTTCATAGTTAGTTAACGTCCGTGCCTCGAGAAGATGTGCCCAAACAGATTGAGGCAAGAATTAAACCAGAAAATCAAGTAAAGGACAGGTCCAGTCAATTCAGTAAATAAAAGCGACAAAACCCTTTCCAAATTCACAAGAAATCTCCAAGAAATTATGACCATGTGTTTATGAATCACTACAAAATAGTGATATCAGGTGAGGGTATCCTGTCCCAACGGTGGCACCCATCACAAACACATGCAAAGGCAGGTCAACTGATTCCAAGAAATGATTCCGGTTAAACAAGGTAAACATTAGTTAATTACAATGTATGAAAACTAAAACTGATATATTATATGTTATGGGCTTATGTTTAACTTTTAGATTGTAAGGCCAGTAGGAAAGGACGGACTTGTCAACTTATAACGTGCGCCAACATCGTAGAGGGCCAAGCATGTGATAATGGCAACCCCTGCTGTCAACTGTAAGGTCAGTGTGTACAGGGGAAAAAACGTGAAAGTCAATCCTGGGTATGATTCATTGTTAAAATCTTTTTTATGTTGGATTGGAGCGCATGATTGGTTGCTTTGTTGTTTTACGCCGCACTCAGCAATATTCCAGCTATATATGACGGCGGTCTGTATAAATAATCGAATCTGGACCAGACAATCCAGTGATTAATATCATGAGCATCGATCCACGCAATTTGGATCGATGACATGCATCAACCAAGTCAGCGAGCCTGACCACCCGCCTTTTACGGTAAAAACAAGCAAAGTCGCCTTTTACGGCAGGCGTGGGTTGCTGAAGACCTATTCTGTTCAATAAGTACGGCGATAGGTCACTGTTTTAGAGACGACTAACGGGATCGGGTGGTCAGGCTCGCTGACTTGGTTGATGAATGTCATCGATCTCCCAATTGTGAAGATTCCAGGGTAGAATAGGTCTTCAGCTACCAATGCTTGCCGTAAAAGGTGACTATGCTTGTCGTAAAAGGCGACTAACGGGATCGGGTGGTCAGGCTCGCTGGCTTGATGGATGCATGTCATCGATCCTAATTGCGAGGATCGATGATCATGATATCAATCACTGGATTGTCTGGTCCAAACTCGATTATTTACAGACCGCCGTCATATAGCTGAGTGCGGCGTTAAAGAACAAATCAACCAACCAACCCAATTGCGTCGATCGATGATCATGATGTCAATCACTGGATTGTCTGGTCCAGACTCGATTATTTTTACAGACCGCTATTATATAGCTGGAATATTGCTGAGTGCGGCGTTAAACAACAAATCAACCAACCCAATTGCTTGGATCGATGCTCATGATGTCAATCACTGGATTGTCTGGTCCAGACTCGATTATTTCTACAGACCGCCGTTATATAGCTGGAATATTGCTGAGTGCGGCGTTAAACAACAAACAAACCAACCAGTACGTTTAGTAGTTCTGTCCTGTCGCGGAAAACGAGGTTGACTACCCGTGAAGATTCCGGGGTAGAATAGGTGTTCAGCAACCCTTGCTTGCCGTAAAAGGTGACTATGCTTGTCGTAAAAGGCGACTAACGGGATCGGATGGTCAGGCTCGCTGACTTGGTTGAAGCATGCCATCGATCTCAATTGAGTGGATCGATGCTCATGATATCAATCACTGGATTGTCTGGTTCAGACTCGATTATTTATACAGACCGCCGTCATATAGCTGGAATATTGCTGAGTACGGCGTTTAACAACAAACCGTAAAACGAGGTTGACTGTTACCTGTCTGCAAATCATACCATGCGGGTTCGAATCCCACTGGTTACACAGCTTTTCCAACAAACTTTGACATCATTCAAAGAGTGCAACAATATAAAAAGGCATGGTTCCGTCGATTCCATTTGTACGTCAACTCAAACGTGGGTTCAACATAATGTAGGCACGAACAAGATAAAAAACTGTTCGTGAAAATAATGGATGGTTTGTTTAAACGATGGAGATATGATCTAATTGATCATACAGTATCACCTTTATTTCCAAATCGTGTCAATATTTATTCCTAAGTATATTATTGTTGTGGAACAAACAAGTTTCAGCACCTGATTCCTCGTAAACATTTTAAATTTAAATGTCAGCGAAAGCAAATAACGGCTTATAACTGTCATAATATATATACGAAGGCGTTTGTGTTCTACATTTGATTAACCTCTACACATATTTTGTTTCAGTCTGACAATGCTCGACAATGTGCATTAAGGCGGCAAGTATACGTACAGGCGATCACCTTGCGTCAACTATAACGACCTGGTGTGTGATCAAGGAGCTCACGCGTGTGAACTACTTCGTGTTAAGTAAAAGTCGTTATCGGGTGGAACTGTTTTGTTTGAATTATTATCTACGTTGAAGAAGTGGAGGATATAGGTTTGGCTTTCGTCCGTCGGTCCGTCCAAAGTTGGTTTGTTGTTTAACGCCGCACTCAGCAATATTCCAGCTACATAACGGCGGTCTGTTAAAATATCGAGTATGGACCAGACAATCAAGTGATTGATATTATAAACATCGATCCACGCGGTTGGTTGGTTGTTTTACGCCGCACTCAGCAATATGACGGCGGTCTGTAAATAATCGAGTCTGGACCAGACAATCCAGTGATTGATATCATGAGCATCGATCCACGCAATTGGGACCTGTGACAAGCATCAACCAAGTCAGCGAGCCTGACCACCCGATCCTTTTAGTCGCCTTTTACGGCAAGCATGGGTTGCTGAAGCCCTATTCTACCCCGGAATCTTCATGATCCCATTCACTGGATTGTCTGGTCCAGACTCGATTATTTACAGACCGCCTTCATATATAGCCGGAATATTGCTGAGTGCAGCGTTAAACAACAAACAAAACGTTTAGCTCACGATCCTCAATTTACGGCACTGTCAGTAGAAAAATCCCTCTCCATTCTGATTGTTCGTGCTGCATACTCGTCAATACGAATATAGATTATGCTAATACATTAAGCGCTCCTCGATGTGATTAGCATATGGAACAGTCCTAAACCAGCATTGTGTGACATTACTTAAGTGACGAACTCTGGGGTTGATCGATGAGTGACTGTGTGATCACTGGGTGAATGTTTCTGTTTGTTTGTTTGTTGCTTAAAGCCGCAGTCAAGAATATTCAAGCTATATATGACGGCGGTCTGGGCGACACGATCCAGTGTGACATTAGCGTCACGAAAACGAGCCTGACCATTCGATCCCGACACGACATCCGATTACGACAATCATAGATTCCTGGAGACTCCTTTGTAGTTTTTTTTATAGGCATTTAGAAGTTGGAGTACTAAGTAAGGGTAGGATTTTTGGATGAACAACTTCTTTAAGAGCGACGTTTCGGTGAAGGTTCTAACGCCGTTATCAAGCAAGATACCTACAGACCGCCGTCACATAGCTGGACTATTGCTGAGTGCGGCGTTAAACAACAAACAAACAAACAAACAACATTCAAGAGCTAGGCGAAGAAGTATCTGACGGATCACATGCATTCCACACCATTCCAGCAGGGGCGCTTTTCGTGGGTTGGTTTGGTTGGTTTGTTGTTTTACGCCGCACTCAGCAATATTCCAGCTATATCTCTTACAGAAATATTACTATATCTCGACTATATACACGACGCCGTCATATTAACGATTGCGATATTATGTGTGCATTTTATCAGTTATGGGGAACATCCGAGCAACTGTCGGTTAGTGTTGGTTTGCTTGTTGTTTAACGCCGCACTCAGCAATATTCCAGCTATATGACGGCGGTCGGTAAATAATCGAGTCTGGACCAGACAATCCAGTGATTAACATCATGACCATTGTTCCACGCAATTTGGATCGATGACATGCATCAACCAAGGATCTGTGAATGGTTAAAATTAACGTTACAAATATATGTATCAGTTTTAGTGATGGAATTTACAGAAAACGTCGCCTTAATGTGAAACTCGTGCATGCCCGCCGTTCTTCAAACTTCCTGATGCACATTCGATGCAATTAACGTTACAAATATATCTATCAGTAATCATTATTGTTCACAAGGGTCTGTGCATGGTGAAAATTAATCTGATCTGTTTGTCTGGTTGTGTGTTAGTTGTTTAACGCCACACTCCAGCTATATGATGGCTGTCTGTAAATAATCGAGTCTGGACCAGACAACCCAATGTTATGCCATGTCTGGTCTATTATTGAATGTTAAGAATGGGTATGGAATTTCTGAAATATTATACTGTGACAGGTTTGATGCCATCAGGTGCCCCTACCCCCCCCCCCCCCCCCCCCCCCCCCCCCTTTCCAACCGCTTAAACTGAAGCCATTGAAATCGAATCGATAACATGAACACAGATTTTCATGTTAAAGATTTAGTACATGCGCATGCGCATCCGTTACCTTATCAAACGCGTTACATCAACAATTTCTACAAAAAGTAGTACAGGACTGCCGTCTGACATAATCAATGACTGGTATGCTCGAATCATGATAACTTATGTGTTACTTTAGATTCTTTAACACATAATACTTCTGAACACATACACAATACTTCTCGTGAGCACACGATACAGTACTTAATACATCATAGTGTTGTTACTAGTACCTATCAGAACTGGCATCATAGTGTTGTGACTAGTACCTATCAGAACTGGCATCATAGTGTTGTGACTAGTACCTATCAGAACTGGCATCATAGTGTTGTGACTAGTACCTATCCGAACTGGCATCATAGTGTTGTGACTAGTACCTATCAGAACTGGCAGGACCATCTTAATAATAATTCACAACTGGAACGGACAACTAATTTCCCGGAAATATCAACAAAGATGAACAATTTCAACTTAGGAATAGTGTAGAGAATTGTTATCAGCATTAACTGTTTCCAATACAAATTTCAGGTGACTGTCTGATAACTATTCGGACTTAAACGTTATTAACTGTAAGATATTTCGACGAAACCGCTTTATCTGTGGTTCATATTGGGAAAGAGAGGTGACTCTAATTTCAAACGGGAGCTATCTCCGTTGTTTTCGTATTTGCAAGAAATGGCGTCACCCGCGCTGTACGTTGTTTGTCCAGCTATTAAATGCCCAGCTTATCCCTAAGGTAAAATGTATTCTTAATTAAATGTTTGAATGCATTATATATTTATGTTTCCATCCGTACAAGATTGGTTTAGTGCTGATAACCATTTTCTAAAATGTGGGCCCACATCTTTCCCGTCATCTATGGTGATCGAAACAAGTGGGCCCACATTTGTATTTCGCCTAGCTTCGTTAGGTTGTTTCGTTAGTTCTGATAATCAATTCCTAAATGTGGGCAGACGTTCTTCCGTCATATTGATTGCAACAGGAGGGACCACCTTTATTAATTGCGAAATTCTACTTAATATTGATAATCATTTTCTCAAATGTGGGCCCACATTGTTCCCGTCATATATGGTGATCGAAACAAGTGGGCACACATTTGTATATCGTCTAGATCTAGTGGGTAGACGTTCTCCCGTCATAGTGATTGCAAAAGGAGGGACCACATTATAAAATCGCTAAGCTTCATTAGCTTGGCTTACTTATAACCATTTTCTAAAATGTGGGCCCACATTGTTCTCGTCTTATAGTGATCGAAACAGGTGGGCCCACATTTGTAAATCGCTGGGTTTCATTTGGTTGAAGAAGTCATTTAGGCTAGTGGGCTCACATTTGCCATTACTTTGCATGGGTATGTGACATTATATATTATTCTTATTTTGTAATATTGATGGGAAATATCTTTATAAATCATTTCGTGTGACGTTAATTCCACGAAAGGCACAAAATTCTTTGAAGTTTGACCACACTAGTTTTACAAAAATAGTTACAAAGCAAGATCTACTTCAAATTAAATTTACAGAGGCAATACCACTCATTCTACTTTTTCCAGTATAACACATCAATCTAATCATAAGTGTTGGTAGCGATATAACCTGAAAATATGTCTACACTTGAATTGATCTCGGACATGATACAAGCCTTAAACGTTTCCGAGAACATGTTCCATAAAAGGAATATCTCATGAATATTAATGACCCCACGACCTAGTTTGGCGATGTTCGTAGTGAGTTCTGCTGTATTGCCATCGCATTTGTACATTTTAATCCAATTACAAGTCATAATATTTATTTTAAATAGACAAAATAGCAGTTCGTAATGCGGGTTTGTTTACGTAGTATATATTCTCAACAAGTGCATTTAGTTTCGATTGTGGGCCCACCTCGAATTTTCGATTAGGCAAACGGAGGTAGTTCCCTTCTCGAACCACCGATAATGCCGTTTCGCCGATATTTCTTACATACAATAGATAACATTTATACACATCGAAACAGACTTACTTTCCACATTAATGACATGATGAATACCCGCATCAATGATAATTTCTATGACACATAATACTCTGAAGTTATAGATTAACTACAGTTGTTATATTTACATGAAACTGTACCAATAAATGGTTATTCTTGGCAGAACTCCATGTCTGACAACTGACAATAATCACTGATGAATTATCCACTTTTACATGATAAAATGCATACACATACTCAAAAAGTTTTATCAAACTTAATATCAAATTTATCAAACTTGACCTATCAAAATTATTTAACTTGATCTCAGAAATAATAATAACACTATCATACACAAGAACCCTGTGCTTGTTTCACCACAAACTGAAAGAACATGACAGCTGATTGTTAAGAGAGTGAGTGAGTTATCTCCCCTTAATTGGAATGCAACTGTTATTCCTGTGCAAAGATAATCATTTCGTCACTTACGATTATTCTATAACAATGTTGTAACCCTTATACATGTATTTACAAAGAGACTACTTCACAAACATATCTTTCAACATTGGACAAATGAATACTTTCATGTGCGTAAAAACGTGTGGACCTTTCCAATTCACTTCACAATGCACAACGCACTTATCTACGAGAATATCCTAATACCACTTGTACCACAGTTTGGCATAAATTGTAGTGATTCTACTCTTAGTAGTATCTATTGATCAAGTCTTAACCTTCTTTTAACTTACGCTGAACGGGACGTCGAATGTGTTTTCTTCCGCTGTGGCCGACAGCCAAGGGACGTTACTCACTACATAGACTCACTCGGTGTCAAGCTAAAACACTTACGTAACCCACTAAAATGCCATTCTGACAAAATTACTTTGTACTATGGCATAAACGAAACTATTCAAAACTATCAAAGTATTATTTCTCCTCCTCCATCTCATGTCTAAACTAGCATGATACGAGGGGCGTTCAATACGTTTTGCAACTTGTGGCAGGTGTGACACTAGTCATAACATCA